TAAGATTTGAAAACTTAATACAAGATTTTCTCACTAGTTTTTTTACATTTAATAAAAAACAAAAGTTTAGCGGAAAGTCAAATTAATTTTTTTAAAAGCGTTTRAAATGATTATAGGTATAAGTAAATAAGATTTACACACGTTATTTTCCGCATAAGAATTTATTTTCTTAAAATTTTTAATCATCWATCATCAATACTTATCAAAGTATCAACAATATCTTATTTAAGATTTATAGATTAGGATATTAATTGAAAATTAAAATTATATTAACGTATGAATAAGCCAAATTAAGTTATGATTTTATATTTTGAGTGGACCTGCGGACCGATGTACCTACATTGATTTTACAATTAGTGTATTCTTTTTTCTGTGTTCACAATTTACGAGCTATAGAAAAAATGCTTCAATCTTCAACTTCAATATCTTGGCAACTGAGGGCTCAGGTGTAGGGATCGTCTATTTAATACGTGTCAGAAATGGAAGATTCAAAATATTGATAAAAAAAATTCAAAAATTGAATAAAAAAGAATGCTAGGTATTCAAGAATACTAATTGGTGTTCCATAATTAATTAAGATTATTAGTTAATGTTAAGTTTCTGTTGAGACCAAAAAATATATAACACACAGAAATATTTTTTTTTTTTTCATAGATATTTTAAGTTCATATTTGGACAACATTAGATATAGTGGAACAAAAAATAATGATTAAGAGGACTTTACACTAGCATAATTATATATTTGTATAATTTTACTAGCAAAATTTCATCCACTGCCATCAGGGCATCAGCAGAATTTAWATAAGAGTTTATTTACTTATTAACTAACCTAAAAAGGTAAGAATAGCATATTTGTTTTTATTTTCATATGGTTACAGACTTTTAATGAATTTCATTTTTGAAGAGAGTGCAAGAATTTTTTTATTGTACCTAACATTTTACACATTTATAACTTAACAATTACAATATCTAAGAAAATTAGAAACACAAGTAATTTTCTTACCTTAAAAATAAATTATGGGTAAATTTTCACTTCACTCCAATATTAAAACTTCTTCTTTTTCGATAATTTCGTAAAACTGAACACAAAATTGGTACAGCTGAATAAAAACTTACTATATACGTGTCATTATTGTTTATGACATCCTCTTAGTTAATATAAAACTTTAAAAACTGCATGTACATATTTTACTATGTATAATGTATATATAAATCATAATTGTAATTATAATTGATAGGTATAATACTTACAATTCACTACAATAATGTATATCCATCAATCTATTATAACTTTAAAATAGCATAAGAATTTTTAATTAGAATATAATATATATTATGTAGATTGTAGGTGATTTGAATAATTGAATAAAGAATAGCAATTAGTCAACTAACATACGAATAAGGAAATAGCTGTCCAGATCCTCATCAGAATTGAAAATTTTTTTTTAGATTATTCAAGGCCTTAAACCTTTAAACTAAAACAAATTATTTATTTGGTAAATAAATAAAAAAACTTAACTTTTGGTAGAAATTTTATAACAATATAAAAGTTTATTACATTATATTATTATATATATATATGATTTCACAGAAATCTTTAAAAATGTATGTACTATATACATAAGGTTATCAGAATACGATTAAAAATATTATAATTGTCATGAGTTTTAGCTCAATAAGAAAACAGAGAAAGCTTAGTAGTCATAGCTGAAAATCGTTTTTACAATATTTTTGTTCAGTGAAAAATGTATACACTAAAAGTATAAAAAATTATAAATATAAAATAGTTGTTAAACTTATAAGTAGATAACATGATGATTTAAT